TTTTTTCGCGAGCAACTTTTGAGCCTGCGCTTTTATTCGTATCTAGTGACGATATATAGAAGTAAAATGTAAATAAATTTAAGTAACACATACAAACATAAAAAAAAAAAACCTAAGTCATAAGCATTTCAATTGCATCATCCGCGTCTTTGCTATCCATCTTTAGGCTATCACGACAAAATCACATATGAGCCTCTCACCGTCTGTGGCAAAGGACGGCGAGTATGTTGGCGAGCATGCTCGCTCACATGTTCATCGTATGTGGCCACTGTAACACCGACCTTTCTTGGAAATTTGTGCGTACGAAAGCGCCATCCAGTAAGAAAATAGGCCTAATATTACGGCTTCTGTTAAATTAAGTTAATTCTATACTAACCAGGGCTTGCACCGGACGATACTTGGGGTATTCACAGCTCGTTCCAAATAGTGTCTTAATATGTAGAAATCTACATTTTAAGACGTTTTCTAACTGTAAAATTTGTGGTGTAAATCCATACAAAATTAGAAAACGACGCTGTCGCACTCAAAGGTATGTTTTTTACGCGTTTACATTTTGCGACCTCGCAGCAGGCTTGCATTATGGCAATACCAATAAATTTTTTTTAGTTTATTAGGGACAATAGCTGATGAAAGCAAACATATCGGGTGGGGTTTAGTAGCGCTCACAACTATTTCGGGCTATTCCGTCCAAAGGGGTGGCCCGATCCAAAAAAAAAAAAAAATCCACACACTTGTAATCAAGGGTGTACGAATTATTTTAACACTCACTTATGTAAATTTTGGTCACTAATTTATTTACAAATTGGGTTTGAAATATGCCCTTTTTTGTAAAATTCGGAAATTAGCGTACATTTATCACTCCTATTCTCCTTAAAGCAGCCACTTCACCAATACATTTTTGTATTCCCCTTCACTTTACACTTTACTCGATTAGTTATAACTTGCAAATTAAATGGCGGAGTTCAGCTGTCAAACTCCAAAATATGCAAAAGAATGAGAGACAAAAGAAAATAGTAAGCACTAAAAATATACAAAGGTGTTCTCTGCAAAAGGTGTTCAGCTCCTTTTCTTCGCAAAACAGAAAGGAGAACTCTACTGCCTGAGGGTTATAATCCCTAAGTGCGGCCGAAGGCGGCCTACGCCGAAAGGTATTCTCTGCAAGAGGTGTTCAGCCCCCCTTCTTTGGCAACACAGAAAGGAGAATTCTACTGCCTGAGGGTTATAATCCCTAAGTGCGACCGAAGGCCGCCTACGCAGAAAGGAATTCTACGCAAAAATACATTTGTTAAAAAAAAAAAAAATTTTTTATAAAAACTCGTTTTTTTTCTATTTTCAATTAACTTTTTTATTCTTTATTCAAAATCACCCGATATCTAATTTGGCATAATTTCTTTTATTAAAAAATCCCACGGTTTCTGTTAATTGGATCATATTCCACTTCAAACTGCTCAGTTTGCCTAAGAAAATTCCGTTTTTCCCCCTCTTTCAAACGGTTCCCTAAGGGACTGTGGGAGGAGCCCAAGGGGAGAGTATGCCTTTTTAGAAAGCGGGGACTGTCCCCTTTCCAGTGGGGGCGTTTGGGGGGCCCCGCCGTCTACATTTTGAGACAAAATTTCGAACGAACTGTGAACACGCAAACTGTCTTGACAATAGCAACACATCCCGGCAAACATTGAGGTTAGTTATCGGTTGGAGAATGATTGGAGGACTAGCCACATTCTCCAATCTCAAACGTTAGAGAACGACTCGAAAAACTATCGAGAATCATACCGATCTCAACAAAAATGGGGCATAGTTCTCGACTCGAGAAAATATTGATTCTCTAATCGTATTCCAATGTTGATCTCTAATGGGATTCGAGTGTGAATTTCAAACTGCTGTTTTGCCTTGCTTTGTTTGTATAATTTGTATTAAATGTATTCACAATTAAATAATGAATTATCTGAACTTAAAAATAATTTATGAGTAATTCATTTGGAATATTGCTTCTTTACATTTATTTGAATTTGCGTTGTTGCTCTAATCGTTCTCGAATCGAATTCTAATATAATTATCTAACTTCGTCATCGACTCGAGAACGATTAGAGAAGTACCCTAGTTATCTAATGTAGAAATCCAAATTTCTCTAACGTTAGAGACTGTGTTTGCTGTGATGTACACTTTTTCCTGCATACTTTTGCAATTGCCTCAATCACTGTCTTGATTATTTTCAAGACAGTAAATCGGACAATGATTTGACGTATGCAGACAATAATTTTGACGTCTTGTGCGAGAAAAAAGAGAAATTCACAACAAAAGAACTAAAATAACACAAGAGACGCTGATGTGTACATAAATTTGTCTCTTCTTTATTATTTTTTAGTTTTTAGCTTAAATAGCTTAAGCGAAATGCCATGCCATTGACATGACTATTGTCAGGACGCCTGCGTTGCGGAGTTAATTATCAGCTTTTTTGACAACTAATACATATCTATTTCTTTATTGTCTTGCCGGCATTGTCTAATGTAAATGCGCCGTAACTGAGCTCTACCTGAGCTTTCAGTTTATGGAAACTTGCGTTTTCCATCACTGGAAGACTTTACACCAGCGAGTTGGGTTAATTCGTTGCTGTCGTCAAAGATTGGCTGAATTTCTTTATTCATTCTGAACGTTTGGAATAAACTTTTTTGTTTACTTATTCTTTAGAACGTTCCTGATGATATGTTAACGTATATTTCAAAAGCATTCTGTTTATTCCGGCTGTGAAATGGGATTATCCGGAATGTATAAAGAAACGCAGCCATTGTGTACCGTACGCAGTGTACACAGTGTACGCTATAGAGCTGTAAAAGTAATGAAAATTCGGATACCCGCTTGTATTCGTTACTATTCTAATCAACACCCGTATCTTTCGTATCGTTACTTTACTCTTTAAGCTGAAATTAGTCAAGAACGTAAACCTACCGGTACGTAAACCCGAGTCAGCTGAAACGATCTGTCTTACCAGAGCGCCATGTAAATGAAAACTCAACACCGCAGAATTTTTTTGTAGTTGTGGCCGTAGCGCAGAAATCTGCGGAATTTAGATTTTCCGTGTCAGCTGATTTCTTCCATCTATAGATGGTTGCCACTTCGTCGGTTTCGCAAATGGTAAAAAAGGTATAATTTCCTATTCAAAATACGTTTAAAATATTTGAAATTTACTATTGAATAAAGTTTTTTGTTGAAAACTAAGTAGTTTTTATCTAGCTAGGATCTATTATAGCACGAAAAATTGTAGTTGAAAAGGTAAGTTTATGAAAAGGCAATGATGAGTGGCAACACTGCAGTAAGCAACACTGAGGGCTCCAGTAATCGACAAAATTCTGCGTATACAGACTGTGTTTAAGTATACGTTCTGCGTTCTTGACTAATTTCAGCTTTACTTTTGATACAAGCACTTGTACCTCACAAGAATCATCGCAAGAAATCTTGCAGCATAAGGAAATGATCGTTCGTCCATATGCATACATGCACATACATATATACATATGTATACACGCAACATATTTTTGTATCGATTCGAACAATTTGATACAATCAAGCACTTGTACCTCACAGGAATCATGCTAGCATGTACGTACATATACAGGCAACGCACTTCAGTATCGATACGAAAAACAGTTTCGTTATCGAACATTATGAGGTTTGTATAGTAACCAATAGTCAGTACTAATTTGTACTGGAACCTGCAAATTTTTACTGGAAAAGTGTATTATAAGCCAACAAATTTGCAAGAGAGCACTGAATCGAGAGCGTAACAACACGGGAGAGCTACAAATTCTTGCTATTATTCGTTATTCGCAAATAACTAAATCACGCAAATAAGTATTGATTCGAGGTACTATTTGCAAATAAACGCAAGACGCCGCCATTTTTAACTTTGTTTTCTGTTTCGATGGTCATATCATTGCCTTTTTATAATCAGGCAATGTTAAAAAAGAATTTTTCACCATCGAATAAACAGTGAGTTAGGTATTTGCAAATAGCTTACGTATAACCGTAGTATTTGACAACTAATACGTAGTTCTTTAGTGTCTTGCCGGCATTGCCTAATGTATATGCGCCGTACTGAGCTCTACCTGAGCTTTCAGTTTATGGAAACTTGCGTTTTCCATCACTGGGAGACTTTACACCAGCGAGTTGGGTTAATTCGTTGCTGTCGGCAGAGAATGTGTACGCTACTTTTGCTTTTGTGACAGGCTCGACGTTTTTGGTTAGATTTCTTAAGGCTCCGTTATGCATACTTGGCATTGCTTGAGAGTTGTCACATAAGGAATCTGTTAAATGAGCTTCGCGTGTAAGCGGTTACCCAACGCACAGTATTACATACGTAAAAGTCTGTAGGTTTTTGATTTCTACGTAAAAATGGTATAGCAGTGCATGCAATGCCAAGTATGCATAACAGAGCCTTTATTCTGTCGATATTCCTATTTAGATTTGGAGAAAAATTGCTTTTGTGTTTACATTGCATTGTGTGACATTTTACGAAGTGAATTCGAGCAAATTGTCTTTAAAATGGCTAGCTTTGAAGGAAAAATGTGAAAATCGGAATAGCATGCTGTTAAAATAAACGTGTGCGGCTAACAATAAGAAGAAAATCTCGTTTCTGGTGTATGTGTTCGTGTGCTGTGTATGCTGCGGAAGAGCTAAAGCTGCTGCCGAGGTATCAACAGCAGTAAACATAGTTGATTAGCGCTATCCTCCTCTTCAGTGACGCTCTTCCTTCATCTGTATTAGAAACGAACGACGACGTCTATATTGGAAGATGTCGTCCTGGTACTAGATATAAAATTTGAAACACAAATAGTATACTGCAAACCAACTAATAACGAAAATTTGACGTCAGAAGAGAAAATTTAGCTTTTTCTGTGATTTTCCTGCGATATACCACAAACGGAAGAAGAAGTAAGTATTATTGGTAAATTGAATAACCTTTTCTTCAAATACTTATGTATACCACCTAGTTTTGTTTATTTCGAATTAAATACGCAACAATTATGTTCTAAATAACCATATTACAGTGTATCCTTCTCCGTTACATTACTCTACAATGCGGCCCCAACCACCTGGTGCGGGGCAACAACAATATGACCACAACGCCGATGAGCTCAACAAAGCAGAATGGTATTGGGGAGAAATTTCACGTGAGGAAGTTAAGAACATCTTGTCTGGCGAGCTAGATGGCAGTTTCCTTGTACGTGATGCCTTGAATAAAAATGGCGAATATACACTAACTCTAATTAAAGATGGAACGGAAAAGTTGATAAAGATTTGCCATCTGAATGGAAAGTATGGTTTCACGGATTGCAAGTTTAATTCAGTAGTTGAGTTAATCAACTACTACAGAGTAAATTCCTTGAAACTATATAACAAAACTCTGGACATAACGTTAAGCAATCCAATTGTAAAACCAGCGGAGGAAGATGACCACAGTGATCTGCGCTTTCTTGCCGACAAGTTTCTTAGTCTGCATCATATGCTTAACAAACAGCAGTATCTATTAGATCAAAAGATGAAAGTATTCAAAAATGTTGAAGCGGAGTTAAACGAAAAGAAACAAGATCAAGAAGTTTTCCTTAAGGCGGAAAAAATGTTTAAAAATCAAATTAAACTTTTAGAATCATACATATGTACTGCAGCCCAGCCGCAGGTCGGCGGAGCTGGTACAATAACAAATGCTAATGGCGGCACAAGTGGAGGGAATGGATCGTCTGCACTTCGCCAGCAGGATCTCGAAAAGTTACAGGCAAACGCTGCGTTATTGAAAATGAAGCTTCATTCTTTGTGTACAGAAATGGGGAAATTAAACCGATATGTAGAAGATAAGAAGGAAGACTACAAACGGCTTGAACGACAAATTAACGCAGCGAAACCAGAATTGCAAGAGTTAAGCGTAGAAAAAGAACGAACAACAGAGTAAGTATAATAATGCATATGATAAAACTTTTGTAGCATATAAAATAGGCAGTATAGCTTTAAATTATTTTCAATGCTACTTATTGACGAATTTATGAGGTAAAACATTTACAATGGAGTTCGTTCATAACACTCGTCCAAGGAAACTGAAAAAATTTAATACATGTAAAAAATTAAGGTCCAGTTGTTGTTTTAGTGGCTACAACAACCCCGACCAGATCGCTTACGGTTTATTTTTAACCCACTTCCAAAAAAGGAGGAGGTTATCAGTTCGTCGGAATATTATTTTTTTTTATGTACTTATGTATGTTACCGCATAACTTTGGATCGCGTCAACCGATTTTTTTTTGCATCGGAAAGGTAGTGTCTCAGAGGTGGTCCCATACTAATCTGGTTTAGATCCGATCATTGGATTATTAAATATATATATATACATATATATTTTTTTTTTAAGTCGGTTTTTTTGCTAAAAATTACTTGCCATTATGTCAAATTCAATTGCTTTTCATTTTGAATCTCATAAATTGGTTATAACGACTTTTGCTAAAATTTCAAAATCAAAAGTTATCAAAACAAATTCTATGGGACTGAGAAAAATTATTTTCTACTTTTTAGTCCATTTATAAAAGCGTTGTATATTAAAAAGTTTTTTTTTTATATTATTTATTTAAGAAAAAAACACTCAATACATATATACATATTGCGTATTTCATTACAAAAGTGTCTTTTGTTTAATATAAATGATGGGGCAATGCTTTCGAAAAAAATTATTTCAATATATTATTTGTAAGTTATTGCTTGCCGTTATTATTATCTGTGTAATATCTTTATCATTTCTAGATTAAGATGTGTGCATACATACCCTGCAGAAAATCTGACTAGCCTAGAACTAGCGTAGAACTAAACCTTTTGCCGACAGTACCAGTTCTAGCTCAATAACCAAACAATGCTTTCAACTGTCCAGTTTTACACGGCGATGTCATTGGCGGTGGCAATTGTCGCCCAGTGCTTTACTTTGCAACCAGTTTTTAACCGGCTCCATTTTGGAGAGTTTGTTTTTATAAGAAAACGTTTTTGCGATACGATTTTTGGAAATTTTTTTTCGTTTTTTTTCGTTTCTTTTATAAATTCCGTTTTTGTTACATATTTTATTAATAAAAAATAAAAATATTGTAAGCTGCACGCAACAATTTAAATTCATTAAATTTGAAAACTGCCTCCACCGCGATTTGAAACCGCGACCAACGATGGTTGAGTCGGAGTACGAGTAGTGAGCATTTGCACATATACACCGCAAGTTTCAACTGTCCCGCTCTGCATTCCTTTTGCACTACTTCAAAGATAGTTCTGAGATATGTAGTTCGGAACTAGCGCTTTGTCAGACTGTCTCTAAATTTTGCTGCAGGGTATGGATGTATGTATATACATATGTATATGCATACATATGCAAATGTAGAGAAGTCTTGAGGGGCTAGTAACTTTCTCACTTGCCCGATTACAACTAACCAGACAGCGGTCAGCCAATAGGCAGATGTCTGAAAATAATTATTGTATTGCGGTAGGGTGAACGTAAAAAAAAAAATTATGATAAGAAATTCATAAAACAATTTTAAAAATGCCTAATTTTGAGTTGTGCCACTTTTGAAGATCGTGTGCCATTTGTACATACATATATATATATGGAAAAATTAATAAGGACACGACATTTTAACAAATTTTGCCTATTTTTCTTTTGTTTTAATACTTCTTATTTTTTATAAAAGTATTGCTCATTATCTAACAAAATCCATATAAATTCATATCTCAAACTTTGTGCAAAAATTATAAAAATTCAGCAAAATAGCTCGTGTGCAATATGTACATATATATGTATATGGAAAATTTAATAGGCATACGACATTTTAACAAATTTTGCCTTATTTAATTTTTTTATTTAATACTTCTTATTTTCTAATTTTTTTTATAAAAGTATTGCTCATTATCTAACAAAAACCATATCCATATCATATCTCAAACTTTGTGCAAAAATTATAAAAATGTAGCAAAATAGCATCTAAATTTTAAACTTTTTAACCAGATTTTTTTTTTTTTATTTTTTTGGTGGACGCAGTTTTATAGCCCATTAAATTTTAGCATAATAAAGTGCAAGTTTGAAGTTCCTAAAAAATAGTAATAATTTTAAAATTTTTTTTTGCTGAATGTATTACGCACTTTTTTTCATAAAAAAAGTCGAACATATTTTGTATGGGAGAAAATACGTGACAAAATTGGCAAAAATTAACGCGATTTTTTAGCAACTTAAAACTTACACTTTATTCTACTAAAATTGGGGCACCGAAATTGCGCATATGGGCATATCCTGCGTTGCGGACGCGATATTCGTACGACTTCAGAATTAAATAAACTGAAGTCACTTGTAAAAAAATTTGCCGGTTTGTAGCTTTTATACCAGGGGTGGGCAAGGCCGAGGCCGAAAAGAGCCACATGTAAATTCTAAATGCTACAAAGAGCCACAAAAAAACAGCAAAAACAACAATTTTTTTTTAAATAAAAGTATTATTAGAAATGAAAAACATTAGATAATTTTATTATTATTCTAATGTCCGTAAGATAGATATTAAAGAAAATTCAAAAGATCTCTTTGGCCAAATTTTTAAAATCTGGCTTACGTCAGTTAAAGCCGTTCGTAACAGTTCTGCTAAATGTTGGTTAGTCAATAGGTACGTTCTTTTAAAATTTCTAGTAAAAAATGCCCAACAGCAAAATTCCGGCGAAATGTCATCTGGTCTCTCACAAGAGAAAAATATCCAAAATAGTACGCGCACAGAAAATTTGCAGAAACTTGCAACAGCTGATAGAAATTTTGTTTACATTCAAAAGTGAAAAATTGAAAACATAAGAAAAGAAATCCCGAAGTCTTATCCTGACACAGTTCACTGACTAAAGGAATAATTACTTACTTCTTACAAGTTTAATTAGTCGCATTTTACTATTTTAACTTCCAAACCATCAAATTCAATTTAGGGATTGGCGTAAATTCCAACCAGCTGCTTTTGATCAGCTGTTTTCTTGTTGGTAAATTGCTGTTGGTAAAAATTTTTCCAGCATAAACTAGCAGCTTTCCCTCGGAATTAAATGTCAGTTTGCTCTCTCAATTTCCCCATACTTTGCGAACACAAAAATCTGATGGTTTTTATAACTTTCAATAATTATTAGGTACGCGAATGCAACTAATTGTGAACGGTATTTTGACTTTACAAATTTCATTGTAGAGTACAAAGACTCACAGTTATACGTTGTACCAAAAATTGAAAATATACGGTACACAGCTGTCTTCAACAGCCGATATTTTAAATCTGGTACCTACTTGTTGTCGGAATTCCAGCAATGGAAAAGTTTTATGTTGCATTTCCAGTGCCTTATCTTTTAATTCCAAAAACTCCAACTCTTCTTCGCTTTTCTTAAAAAGGAGTATTTCGGGTATTGTAAATTCATGCTCAATTATGTTACATAAAAAAGGTTTATGAAGTATGCAAATGTACATTTAAATAATTTCAAATCGGCAAATCTTTTTTCAAAATCTGCTTTTAAATCACGTGCAATATTTTTTTCTATCCATGGAAAATGATGAAATATTCTTTTTTAGAGATCATTAATAAAAATACGTAGGTTACTTTCAAAACTTAAAATAATTTGCGACAAATCAAAAACATTTTTTTACCTCCCTTTTATTAGCTCGGGATGTAACTATGTAATATTGATGCGCCTAAAAGATGCAGCGATTTCTAAGTTACATACCTGATGGCAGTACTAATGGAAATTATAAAAGCGAGGTTTTAGTTTTTTAAACTATAATTTTATTATTCCCCTTGTAGAGACGAATTCAAGTTTGGCAAATGTTCCATCATATCGGTAAAGAACATTAAGTCAGAAAGCCAACTTTCAATTGCGGGTAAGGTTCCGATCTCAATTTGCGTATGTGTATAAAAAGAATAAAATAAAAAACACCACAATGGAAAAGAATGTCCAGCAAAGAATTATGTATTTTAAAAAGTAAAAAGGGCCAAGATGTTCCAAGCAAAGAGAAAGTAAAAAGAGCCGTACTTTGCTAAGCAAAGAGCCGCATTTGGCTCAAAGAGCCGCGTTTGCCCACCGTTGCTTTATACCGCCATTTGGTTGACCAAAAAATTAGGTGCGCATGGAACACTGACGTCGGAAAAATCGATGAAAAGGAGGGCATAACGGACGCGACAAATTTTCCCAAATACAATATTTTTACTAGTAACACATACTAAATTTAATATTTTTTTAATTTTTTCAGTTCTTCTCTCCACCCTTTCGCGTTTTCAAGACCTCTTTTCGCCATCAGAATACGAAATTTAAAGTTATAAAGCCGTTTAAATTCATTTACTTGCATTTTCCGTTTACCTTTATTGGGAAATGCCCATATGGAAACTGTGCATTTAGACATTATTTCGGTTTAAACCGAAACTGTGCATGTGTGCTTTTGTCATATGCATTATTTCGGGTTTCAACCGAAATTGTGCATGCATGCGTTAGTTCGATTTTTTTTGTATGCATTATTTCGGTTTTCAAACGAAAGAGTTCATATGGATAATTTCGTTTTTTTCTAATATAAATTACTTCTACTTAGTACGGGTTATAATCCCTAGCCCGCACGATGGCAAATAAAAATTCATTCCGACCAAACTACATCGAAATGCACAATTTTTTTTTCATAGATAAATGAAGAAATGTTTATTACAGAAGTTGTTAAACATTTTCGTCCACGAGGCGCAGAAATTGCTTAAGAGTTCAATTTTTCATAAAAAAATTATTGAAAAACAAAAAAAAAATATATTTGTAATGCAATTAATTTCATTTATAGTTTAATGTTTTTTAAATCTGCACCCAAAAAAAATTTTTCATTCGGACACTTACTTTCAAAGAAAAATAAAAATTTCCAAAACAATGCAAAGATTTTCAATTGGAAAAGAAAA